TTCGCTCGCATCACGTTCAACACTCGACGGAGGTGTCCTAGATGCACCTCCATGGCCGTCTTGCCTCCCTCGGCACGGCTATGGACGAAAATGTCGTCGAAGTACGTCTGTACGAAGGTACGCAAAGGGCGGAACAATTGCGTCACCAGGCGATTGAACGTCGCCGGGGCGTTAGACAAGCCCTGCGGCATGACGAGCCACTCCCAAAGCATGCCGCTTGGAGTGCTTACCGCGGTGAGCGGGATGTCACTCTCTCGCATCAGGATTTGGTAGTATCCGTCTACCAAATCCAGCGCACTGTACAGTACGCTCCCGGCCATGTTGTTCAACAACACATCCTTTCGTGGGATCGGTGTTTGGGCCGGCACCGTTGCGTTGTTCAGCTGGTTATAAGCGTGAATCAGACGCCACTTTCCGTTCGGCTTACGAACGCAGAAAGTCGGCGTCGAGTGCGGGGTTTCGATTCCCGCACCATGCCTGCCTTCGCTTTCGCGGCGAAGAAGGCATCAATGACCTCGCACTGTTCGCGCGGGAGAGGCCATTGCCTCGTGACACAATACTTTGTGCCGGGCACATAATAAATCTCGTGCCGTACGCCTCGATCCGGTAGGAGTTGGGTCGGTGGGTGTTTGTTCACCACGTCCGCATACTCCGTCACCAAAGGATACACCTGATCCTTGGGGTTCTTGAGAATCTCAGAACCCAAGCGCGCCTGACGCTGCTTGTTCATATCTTCCAGGACGTTCTCGTCCAAGACAGGGGAGGAGTTCAGCTCCTCCTGAGTGGTCTCAGGTCTCATGAGTACCATCTCAGCAATCTCTCCAGCCTTGAGGTTGGCCAGGAAAGACTCAGCCGCCATTTCCTCGAGGTTCAGTATCTCTGCAACCTCTGGCAACGGTTCCAAGTGGACACCAGATGCCTTGACGGGTAAACCTGTCTCGCCATCGAAGAAGTGATAACACTCTTCCACCGGCCTTGTCGGAGGAGCCCGGGCCCTGGACTCCGAGTCGCTTGAGGCGACGTCGATCGGAACGAAGTTCGGATCCGACTTGAGGCGGCGGCGGCGTCTTTGTCGACGGCGTCTGTGACGGGGAGCTTTGCTTCCTACGTCTAGGGATGTCGTTGCTACGACATCCGAGGCACTCGTGGCCTCGTGTGGTATTGTTGTACCTGTGTTCAACGCCTTCCTCTTTAGTTAAGGTCTGGGCGACCGCGTGTGGCACTGTGTTACCCACACAGGAAGCGTATCCGACGTCTTCCTCTTCAGTTATGGTCTGGGCGACCGTGAGTGGAACGCTGTTACCCACTCTGAACACGCTGTTCTCAGTGTTCATGACAGCTGCAGCTGCCTGCGGAACTAAGTTACCCGCCTGTGGACCTAAGTTACCCATTTTTGCCAGCGCCTCTTCTGGGCGCGGCCACCATCAAAACATCCTCGGAGTCGTCATATACGTCGACGACTCCCAAGCATCTGCCGGATGCTTTGGTACCCTGGCAGCCCTCGCGGGCGCCCCGGGTCCTGACAGAGGTGAATACATGACTCACCAATGCTCTGTCGGACTGCGCAGGGCGGCTGGCACCGATTGCCTTGCCTCGCCAGTCGATCCAGGGCTCGTGCTTCTCAAGCCAGGGCATGCCCAGGATCATATCATATGGATACCTATCGAGAACAGTGAACTGTTCGAGGCTGTCAAAGTCTTCAAACTTGACGGCCAGATCCACTTGGACGTTGGGGGCAGTGACGACCTTCCCGTCGGCCAGTCGCACTGACACCGTCCCGTTGCCCTTGCTTTCTCTCAAAGCATCGGACAACTTGTTGCTGTTACGAGCATCCGTCTGGCGGCGTGCAAAATTCTTCGACGCCCCAGAGTCAATCAAGATTCTAAAGGGATGATCGTATCCCCGTACACATCCGTGTACTACGAGCAACCCGCCGCTGCTCTTCGCCGATTCGAGAGTGCGAAGACTCTCAGGGGCTAAGTCCCCGTGGTACGCGCCACCCGCGCACCCATCACGAAGACTTAGTTCTTCCCCAGTAGGGCGCCCCGCCCCTACTGGTTCCCGGCGTTCCCCTGTCCCCGGGATGCTGGCTTCTGCCAGCGACCCTTGAGGACGGGCTTGGGGAAGGACCGTCTGCGAAGTCTTTCCGCGGGACAGTCGCGCTTGAAGTGGCCCAACTTCCCACAGCCGAAGCAGCGGATGTCACGCTGTTCGGCGGACCCGAGTTCCATGGGAACTGGTCCGTTGGGGCTTGTTCGACCGGGAGCCGACAAGGAACTCCCAGGCCACGCTGAGGCCGGCGTACGCGCCTGGAGATGGCTGTACTCTTCCTGAAGAGCCACTTGAATCGCCTCTTCAAGGGTGCTTGACTGCACCCGGAACAGCTGAGTGCGCGCTGGGACCGCTCGAAGGCCGTCCATGAACACAGTCATCTTGATGTGTTCATTGAGTGGGTTTCCCACTAGGGACGCCGTGAGCTCCCGTATCTCTTGCACATACTCGTGCAGTTCGCGCCTTCTTTGTTTACACGCGAGGAAGCGCGAACGCTGGCGGTACTCGTAGTTCGCCGGGAGGAACGCGGCTCGGAGCTGTTCGACCAGCTGAGCCCAGGATGTGAAACATCCAGGGGATGTTGCTTCCCGAGTGTACACCCAACTCTTAGCACGACCGCTAAGGTTGGAGATTGCAAAAGCAACACGCAGTTGCTCGGTCGAGATCAGAGCCGCGTCCATCGCGAGCTCTACTTCTCGGACCCAGAAGTGAAGGTTCTCGCCTTCCTTCCCTTCATACGGCTTTACCTATAGCCGTATTGGCTTCGGGTGAGGCGGATTTGCTTCCGCCGCCGGAGCCTGCAGGTTTTCCCGCACATGCGCGATGAGGCCCTGCTCGTACGCGTCGAATGCATTGACGCGCTCGAGCTGCTCAGCCGGTGTTGATACCACCAGGCTCTGCAGGGCCTCCATCCCGAAGATGCCTGCCATCTTCCGAACCGACTCGAACTGAGAGTCGTTCATATGGGAGAAGTCGTTCCTATCCATGGCAACGAACTTCGGAGAGGTTCAGGTAGTCTACCCGCGGTGGCGTGGATTGACTACAAGTGCTACCAAGTGTGACGGGGTCACACAGCACCTTGCGCTAGAGGAAGTTATCTTCCGAGAGTATTCAAACTCTCAGTGAACGGCAGATCACAGGTCCCCTCTTTAATTAAAGAGAGCGAAGTGACCTAAATAAGGTAGATTGTAAACTGAGTATATTTATAGGTAGGTTAAGTTTGGGTTTAATACAGTTAGTTACCTATAGAAATGCAATGTCATTTAACCAATGGTTGGCTTTGAACGACCTTGGTACCTTGTACCAAATATCTCGGAGTATGACGTGTCATACTCCTGAAGTGTGAAGTGTCACACTTCATGTAACCAGGGTACACTTAGGGCTACGTTCCCCGTTACACTTGTCCTCATTTCTGAATACTTTCGAGGTTCGCTACGCACAAAAGAAGCCTAAGAACATGAACGTCGAGAAAACTGAGTTCAAAAGCGCGATTATTCCCTACATTCTTCCAGAACATCGGTGAAAGAAGCGCTTGCGATGATTGATAGCGCTGCACCTTATGAAAAGACTATGGATCGTACGTCGTAGGCAGCTAAGAAAGAATGTTGGGTCTGTCATGTGGAAAAATTGGAGTCCCACATAGCGGCAATTGATGACAATGCACTTTACGTGTAGTATATTAAAAACATGCAGAGAAGGGATGGAATGCTAATCCTGGCTAATGAGCAAAGTGAACTGAAAATAAAGAAGCGGCTTGCTTGCTAAAAACCGGTTGGATTCATGGCCCAATGAGAGATTTCATAGCTTTGAAGATGGCTTTCACTTGGACTGGAGCAATCTGTACTGCGCCACACCATTGGCGGATAAATATGACAAAAAAATCTATCTTCTTGCCTGCACTTAAGACTCCTGCATCGGACAAAGGCGATCAATTGCTGCCTTTGACCATGAGCTTGTTGACCAGTGCCGATAAGAATCTCGTGTTTATGCCAATTGGCATCAATGGCGTGTCTAGTGGTGGCTGGGGCAATCTACGATCTACACCTACGACATTTTTGACAAAAAAGCAAACTAGAACTTACTTGCAGAGGTCGCCGAAGAATTGATTAAGAAAGGTCTGCCAAATGCTTACGAAGTGGTTGCTGTGCACAGCCCCATCCAGCAAGATGACCACTACTGCGGTTTATTCGTGTGCTTACATATGTGGCGGCGCTTGTATAAGGAAGCTGGCAGTGATTACAGCGCGACTGGTCTTCAGCATCGGCGCTGGGATGTTTTGTGCACAGTGGTGGGCTTCAGCGAGTTGAAAGTCAAACAGATGAAGAAGTAGGACACCACTAACACCACCAATTCATGCTTACGTTTTGGCCATGTTTTCAGTATGATTTCCTTGGGTAGATGCTGGCACGTTCATACGTTCAATAGACCACGTCAAGACAAACATGAATTTTAGAGGTGCCGACAACTCGTTCTCTCGATCACATTTTTCACGTGATACAGAAGTCCCCCTGAATAAGCGCTACTTACACTTCGTAAACCCCTTGATATCGGATCACATGAATTGGAGGAATAGCAGACAAATCACCAGATCGCTTTGATTGACCTTTGCAAATTTATCAGACGACCCCCTACGCTTATGGAGGAGAGCTTCTGTACTGTCAGGCATGGCTTACTAGATATATTACCGTCGTAATATATTATGAAAAACATGGAGGAAACATATTGGAAAACACGAATTTACCGAGTCTTCAATACCTAACCCTTTTTGAAAACATGGCTACCGTATTACAGTAACCTACTCTTTATCGCGACTCACTCGTATAGTCCATGTATTAGCTTAGTATAGCCAAGCGGATCAAGTATTTCTGCCTAGTGTAGCACAAGCAAACTCTTTTTACGACAGCGAACGTAACTTTACTAGACTTTATAGATACTAGGACTACAAACACTTACGCACGCTGGTGGCTGTATTCGACGGGATGGTGCTGCTCCACCAGGACGACGTACATGCCAGCGCCAATGGGACCTCCTAGAATCGGAGCCACGATCGGCACCCAAAAGTACGAGTCGTTCAGGGTGAACACATTTGTTCCCCAGCCAGCACACAGCGAAAACAGACGTGGGCCGAGGTCACGAGCCGGGTTAATGGCGTATCCGGTGTTCATACCGAAGGCCATTCCGATTGCCACCACCAGAAGGGCCACCGCTCCAGGCTGCGAGTATGGACTCGCAGGCTTGTTCATGTCATCCCCAATGGCAAATAAGCAGCCAACGAGTAGTGCCGTGCCTACGACTTCAGTCAGAAAGCAAGTGCCCGTGGGAACGTCGTCGCTGTATGGATAGGTAGCAAAAATCCCCTGTGTTTCGGTCTTGTGCGGGTCTGTGGCGTTGATCAATGGGGCGTACACCATACAGACAATGGCTGACGCCCCGAAAGCCCCCAGTAGTTGAGCTGCTACGTAATACGGGACTTTCTTCCACTTGAACCGGCCGAACAGCGCCAGCGACACTGTCACCGCGGGGTTCAAATGTGCACCGGAGACACCACCACAAACGTGAATCCCAAAGAGAATGCCGAGCCCCCAGCATAAGTTGATGCTTAGGAATTCACCTTTCGATCCCTCGCTCAGAACGACTTGTGCGACGACGCCCGTGCCGAACAACATGAAAACTAGCATACCGAGAAACTCGGCCATGCACTCGCGAAATAACGGGGACTTTGCTTGATACGCGGCAGTGGGCGCAGGTTCCGTTGACATCATAGCCACGTCTGGTTCGGCCAGATAGTTGCTGTCCATCTTGCTCATGCTGCCTCGAAGCATCGCCTCCATCTTATCCATACTGTCACGAAACATAAGTTGTGTGCCAGGTCCCGCACGCTTGCTAGTCTTCCGGAGGCAACAAATGTCGAGAGCGTAGTGAAATGACTAGTGAAGGCAAGACAGAAGCGCTCTCCCACCGCAACAAGCGTAGAAATTGCTTCAGACTTGTGAGGGCCTCGTAGCGGATACCATACCATATGCGGGTATAATGAGTCGCCAAGGCAACGCAAGTGAGGGCTATTTGCGGTCTGCGGGTCCTACCATCCGATGCACTTCCACCTGCTCATTTTTACAGGTGATCGGGACCGCGAATCTCATCGAGTTTTGCTGCCTCGGATAGAGCGCTGTGTCATCGACATCTGCCCGCGGTAAGACTCTACGACAGCGGTCATACGGAGCGCATCGGCAGCTTGGCAGCTCGAGATTCTTGCCATTTAATTGATCGGTACTGAAAGCGCAAGTATAATGAGCTACAATTGCAGTGCCTCATTTTCATTCCTTCACTTCCAACCTGGAAAACTCAAGCCCTGGTTAATACATGTGTTATTACAGTACATACCTCACTTTCATTGCTTCTTCAGCCTCAGGTTTACGTTCGCGTAAGTGTGTTCCAGTATCAGCGTAACGCAACATTGCCATGCAAAGCAATCTTCAACACAAACCCTTGGGCTAGTCGACACACAGCATGGGGGGAACGTAACATGAGTTTTGCCTTCATAAACCGGTTGGAGATCAACACTACTTTACAATTATCTCCACCATTTTATCATAGCTACACTATGTAAACGTTTACTGATTCTCAAGCGGATGCTTGTATTCACGCGGGTGGTGGTGCTCGATGAGGCCAACGTAAATGCCAGCGCCAATGGGTCCCCCAAGCAGCGGGCCTACAATCGGCACCCAGAAGTACGAGTCGCGCAGAGTAAACACGTCCGATCCCCAGCCGGCGATCCACGAAAAGAAACGAGGACCAAAGTCACGCGCAGGGTTGATGGCGTAGCCAGAGTTCATGCCGAAAGCCATACCGATGGCCACCACCAGCAGAGCCACAGCACCAGGTTGCGTGTAGGGGTTGGCAGGCTTGTTGAGCTCGTCACCGATAGCAAAGATGCAGCCCATTAGAAGTGCCGTGCCCACCACCTCAGTCAGGAAACAGGTGCCGACCGGGACGTCGTTGCTGTACGGGTACGTGGCGAACACGCCCTGAGTTGAGGTCTTTTGGGGGTCGATCACGTTAAACATCGGGAAGTACACCACCCAGACAACGAACGCCGCTACGAAGGCGCCAAGGATCTGTGAAACGACGTAGTACGGGACCTTCTTCCACTCCATGCGGCCGAACCACGCCAGCGTGGTGGTCACGGCCGGGTTAAGGTGGGCACCAGAGACACCACCCGAAACGTGGATGCCGAACAGCACACCGAGACCCCAGCACAAGTTGATGTTGATGTACTCGCCCTTGGTGCCTTCGCTGAGCACGACCTGGGCCACAACGCCATCACCAAACATGATCATGACCATGGTGCCGAGGAATTCGGCCAGACACTCGCGGAAGAGCGGCGATTTGACTTGGAACGGCTTGGTGGGCTCGAGATTCATAAACACATCTGGTTCTTGCACGCCGACGTAGCCGTTCTCGATCTTGTCGTCGTTGCCCGACATGACAGCAGCACTTGATTAAAAAGAGTTGAAGGCGGATGATATGAACACTGCTGCCGACACTGCGAATCGGAAAGTGGGCAGCCCGCTCGAAGGCGCCTCGGGCCGAGGCTCGGCGGCGGAGCGAGACTGCAGAAGTGTTGACAGCACACGAACCGCTTGAAGTTCAACCACCGAGCATGTCTTCTTTATCCTTTGTGAATGGGAAAGCCCACATAGACTGGCAGAATTTGCGACGAAAATGGAGGCGAGTGAGCAAACCGGCGTAAGTTTTCGCGCCAGCTGCAGCTTCAGTCATGCTGTCTGCTGGTCAAGCGCAGTCCAGCGCAATCAATCCGTCAAGGATAACGGCGGGGTTGCCGCAATTATAGCGGCGATCCAGGGAGCTCAACACTATCGGCAGCGTAGACTTGGAAACTCTGCGCTCCAGTCAGGCACGTCGGTGGTCTCGACACTTTGCTGGCGGCCCTCGCTCGAGAGGTGGACTTTACTTCAGTTTTGATTAGCGTTCGTATACAGGCGCATGGATCTGTAAACAGGTTCGACGGGCGCCGCCGAATCGGTGACGCCGATGTCGAGTTAATGACCAACGTCCCCAGACCGTCTACCTGTGCTATCATGTCCAGACCACGCTTGTGCATTCAACATGATATGTAATTCGCTATCCACGCTGCGTTGAGTCTCCTTCATTTGCAGGAGACCTTTGGACCCCAAATTGATACATGTACATACATGTATACCGTACAGGCTGTACTACAGCATGTCCACTTCATATTATCTAGAGTCTAGATTCTAGACGCGTGCCAAAGTGGACTGACCAGGCAACAAAAATGTGACGAGATCACCAGTACAGCTGCTGACACCACCAGCGTGGCATCCATGAGCGCAGCCACAATATATTTTTTTCTTCCGTTTTGGCCCTTTTCAATGAGTTACATGTACATGTTCTCCAGATCGTACTGAAGTCGCAATTTATCGCACTTGACTGGATTCTTACTCAAGGCAAGTCTTTAACAAACTTACGCGATTTTGCGTTCAACCGCGCATGGAAATATTGTAATATCTGAGTGGCCGCTGTCACGCGTACTTGTGCCAGAGTCGCGCTCGAGGACGAACAATGGAGCAGAAGCACACGCCCAGAACAGCGATTGGTTCGAGGCACACAGGATTCCCACCCATTTGACGATCTCTCTCTGCACTCCCTGTAGATAGACCGTCTACATATGATTCTTCATGTTAGTCCGATAAGCCTTCGGTCCAATGCATCATTATCTGTTTTACCTGAATCTGCACACTTGGACTTCAGTCTTCAGTCTCGCTTTCTACACTGCCCGATATCACATTTGGTAGCACTTGGGCTTTTGGGGGAGGGAACATCGACTTTTGGTCACCGTATTGTGACATTTCAAATTTCAAGTTTCGGCTGACCATTTACATTTAATGCTACAGCTGGATATCAGGTAAATGGGACCACCTATCATATTTCGCAGCCGCCCTGGCGGAGAGTCTCTCGATGGCGATGAGCCAGTTGTCAGAGCACCTTATGCAGCAGAACCAGCAGTTTCCATCGGCAGTACTGGAGCAAATGAATCAACGTCACCCCGCGCCAGAATTCAAGGTAGAAGGAACAAGCATGCCTCATTTCTCTGGAATGCCGGACGAGAGCGTCGATGAGTTCATCTTTCGCGCCAAGATGTTCATGCAAGGAAAGAACCTAAATTACGATGACCAGCGTAACGACGCCCGGGTTGTTGCTATGCTAGCATCGAGTCTACGCGCTGGTGCTGCATCGTGGTACCACACCCGCGTGGCTATTGAGCAGCGTCCGATCGCCAACATCTCCGACTTTCACGCACGAGCTTGTTCCGCCGGACCTGCAGTATCGCATCCGCGCCGCCTTGCGGAAGTGTTGTCAGACAAGGGGCATTGATGATTATGTTACGGAGTTCCGCCGTTTGATTGAACAAGTTCGAGAGATGTGTAACGGGGTAAGAGATACCGTTACTAGCTTACACTATAGTGCGGAGGAAGCTCGCAATAATAAAACCAAGTCTTAGGTTTGTGTCAAATTCAACTCTGATTTATTTAGGACCAGGGCGGCTACCCCTGGCCTCGTGTGAACCACTCAAACACATGTCTCTATCTGATTGGTCAATATGTGAGTCTGGCTCCTCACTATCAACCAATCAGATGATGACACTTTGCAACACGCTACCCGTGTGCCACTTTACCTACTTATGTAGTAACTAAAGAAATATCTACCTACTTATGTAATTGGAGTTGGGCCCATTACATCACCCTCCTCTCTAAGTTGCGCTTACGCAACATAAGCGCACGGAACACATTTGAAGAAAACTCGAAAACCCAACGGAGTGAAGATGGCCGAGGACAACACGACGCAGTCAACGGGCGTTAGCACCAGCGCGACGCTGGTGACAGCAGCAAACATCGACGCACTAACGGCGGCGGTAATCCAGACAGCCGAGACACCGGCGGAGCCGACAGTCACGAGGATCAGTGCCGGAAGCACGCGGTCGCGCGTGATGGACGACGCCCTGGTTCCCTGGGACCTGTACGACTTGTCAGGAGCGGGGAATCCGGATACGCTAGACACTATGAAGACCCACTTTCGTCGCTTCCGCGCGACGCGGAAGAAATACATTGAAGGCGCTGATCGTGAGGGACTTCGTCGCTCCTGGTGTGCCTTCATCTGGCGATGGAACCGGATGTCGCGTGCTGGAGAAAGCTTTGTCGACTGGTTGGCGTATCGCGAGGAGATCCTCGCGGATCATTCGATTGGAGAGCTGCGCGTGAAGGTCTGCAACAACGCGTGGGATTTGGATCGACTCTGCTTCGTGCACGTGAGAGAGGGGTGCGAGTCCTGTGGTACTTCAACCCGTCCGACTCAACGCGAATGGAGGGAACATCTCGCTGAGCGGCCACTCAGCGGCGAGGAGTCGGGATGGATCAGAAAGTACGAGCACACCCTGTCCAGTATGGATCAGGCGGCTAATCGCGGCGGCTCACGCCGACGTTGCACGCGTCGGAGCGCGGCGTCGTTGTCGCCTCCTCGTGCGGGTCGTTCTCGTGGCCGTTCTCGATCTCGTTCGCGGTCTCCGCGGGGTGACCCGCGGAATTCTTCTTCTCAAGCAGCAGGTCTCATACTCGGTGGACCACGTTCGGAACGTCGCGGAGAAGGTTGGCGCGGGGCTCCCACGTATTATGTTCTGGGGGATAACCGAGCCAACGTACCAAGTAGCGGCGCGCGGTCGGAACCGCGCGAGGAACACGACTACGGACGTTTCGTTGAGCGGTCGAGCTGTGGGGATCTTCGTGGTCAACGATACGCTCCACAATCCAGCGCGGATCACCCACCGAGTCAATTATCGGTGGTGGGCCTTCACGATGATACGGCGTACGCCCTGTACGTTCAGGGCGAGGTGGAGGCAGCTTCGAACCGCGCGTTGGACGCTCAGGTTGGGGCTGAGCGGGCGGAAGATCGTGCCTGGCGGGCTGAGCAGATCGCGTCGGAGCTTCGTCAGTCGAATCGGGAGCTGTTATCTCGCCTACGGGGATTGGAGACGCATGTGCTTGGCTCTGCCCAGCAGGGAGATCGTCCGCGAGAGCGGGCGCCAGGGGCTGACGGCTTTCTGGCGCGTCAGGCTCGTCGGGCTGGTCGCCCGACGCATGCTCCGTCTGCTGGCTCGAATCAGGAATCGTCGCAGGGAAGTACCGCTTGAGTCGCCCGACGTAAAACGTCGGGTGGAGTCTAAGTGATGACGGGATGTCCAAGATGTAGGCGTCGCCCACAGCCTTGGTTACACGAAATGGACCGATGAAGCGTGGGGCAAGTTTGTTGGCGCCGAGGTTGGTCACGGCGGAAGCGCGGATTCCCTCGGTCGATAGGAGAACGCGATCTCCTATCTTGAATACATTCACGTTCTTTCGACCGTGCTTATCAGCTTGTTCCTTTTGCTTGTCCACTGCGTTCTGCAGTGCGTCGCGGACAAACCTTGCGATGGATTGCCTTTGCATGACGAATTCCGCAACTGCCGAGCGATCAGCAGGAAGCACCGAGGGTTTCGGTGTATAGTTTGCCGTGGTAACTTCTTGCTCACGAATCTTGCTGCCTGGATCGATCAAGTTCTGCGACGTCCATCTCGTTATCGGAGATGCAGTATGCCGAGGAGGCTTGATGGACTGCTTGGACGGAGAACGAGTCAGGGCGTTCGCACTGGCTACACCCGAAGATAACCCTGAAGTCGAGTGCGCCGGCAGGCTTGTTGACACCGGTGAGGCTACCGGTGCGTGCTGAGACACCCGTTCACGTACCGGTGATGACCACGACACGGACACGTTGTCCCTAGAGCTGAGCGCAGCTTCAGCATCCATGTCGACCGAAGGAGGTTCTCCCCCACCAAGGGTGGAGCCGCCAGCATCCGTGGGGTGACCCACGGCGAGAAGTGCCGGAACACGTGGGTGGCGAGCGTTGTTCACGAAGAACGGCGTCATACCCGTCGAAGAGTGCTCGGCGTTGTTGAGTGCGAACTCGGCTAGCGGTAGGAACGAGCTCCAGCTCGTGTACGAAGTTGCGTAGCTTCGGAGAACGTCTTCAAGGACGCGGTTGACGCGTTCTGTTTGTCCATCTGTCTCCGGATGTGTTGCAGTTGACATCAGCAATTTGGTTCCCAAGAGCTCGAAGAGGCGTGACCAGAACGCGGATGTAAACCGCGGGTCGCGGTCGGACACGATAGACTCCGGCAGGCCGTGGTGACGAAAAATCACGTCGACGAAGTGGGCCGCGGACTCTTCCGCGGTGATTGAGGCCGCCACCGGAACGAGATGGACCATCTTGCTGAAACGATCAACGAACACATGTACACCTGTGCGCCCGGCTGTATCGGGCGGAAGACCGAAGATGAAGTCCATCGAAATGGAGCGCCAGGCTTCCGTGGCGACCGGAAGAGGGCGCAATGGGGCCTGAGACGTCGAAGACGGTTTGA